TGGCGCGAAAGGAAATCGATCGGGTCTTGGGAGATGCCAATACTATTTGTTCTCCAGGGGACCTTGTGTCGACCACTATTCGGGCCTGTACTGAGCAGGAGGATATCAAATTCACGACTGCCACCACGGGACGGGGACTACCGCCAATTAGGCCTGCAGGGACTCACGGCCTGCCAGGAGATTTTGCGACGGAAGCCTCTGCCAGCGTCAGTGGACGTGCCCAGCTTGCGCAGACGTGCCAACGGACTGCGGAGGGAGTATCGTGCGGCGTTGGCCGCGTGGACTTCTCCTGCCTCCAGGCGCAAAGAGCGTCATGGTATCAAGCACCTCATTGTGCAGGGACGGATATCTGAGGACAGGGAGGAGTGGGTGGAGGAGATCAGAGCACATACCAGACAGAAGTATACTTCGGAGGAGGTCAGAGGACGGGATATGGCGATGTTGGAGGAGTTGAGGAGGGATGCACAACAGAACCTATGTGACGGGTACTGCACTGAGGGACTGACAATGGCGGTGGTATGCCAGGCACGGTCACGTCTCAAGTCCAAGCGTGCCACCGGCCCCGACAGGCTGCCTTGTGAAATCCTCAAGGCATTGCCGTGGGCGACTTTGCGCGGCGTTGCTCGGATGTTTGATGAGATATTTCGCTTGGCACGGCAGTATCCGCAGGATTGGAGGCAGATTTTGATTGCCTTCATGCCCAAGCTGCCGAGCTTGACATCGCTGACAGATGCGCGGTACCTCTGTCTGCAAAACAGTCTCAGCCGTTGGTACTCTGCTTGCGTGGTGATCTTGGTCGAACAATTTGTGTCTCGGGCTGGCCTCATGGGACCCCTGGGCATCTACGGCTTCCAGGAGGGACGTAAGACGGTGGAAATTGTGGGGGCCCTCAAGGCTCTGGCTCAACACGGGGACATCTGGGGAAAAGATCAGACGGTCCATATCGCTAACGCCGATATCAAACAAGCGTTCGACCACTGCAGCCTTCTAAACGCCAAACGTGCTATGTGCCATGCCAATATTCCTGCCTATCTCCAGTATGCTTTGCTATCACCGCTGGTTTGCACTACGGGGTCGTTAGTTGTCGAGGGTATGGCCATTCACGACATCAACTGGGACGTATGCATACGGACAGGCGGCCCTGAGGGGCCTCTTCTATTTAATCTTATCATATGTGCCATGTGGGGACCTATATTTCGGGATTGGGACAGTAGAGGTGTGGGGTATGTGCTGGAGGGCGTCTGTGGTGAGTATGAGCGACGGACAACTGTGAACCACTTTGTGTGGGCGGACAACTGCTACCTTGTCTCTGCCTCCTCAACTATGTTGGCTCAGATGATGCACGATCTAACACTACCACTACATGACTGGGGGATGAGATGGAAGGATAGCAGTCTGTTGTACATGACATGTGGGGAGAATGCTAAAGTGGACGGTGACGGACATATACTTACCAGCGAGGATTTGTGTATACCTGCGTGCTCGAGATATCAGGGCTTTAGACTTCGACGTGTTGGCAGTATGAAAGTATTGGGTCATGAGATTTTCTACACATACCTAGTGCCTGCTCATCCTGATGTTGAATATCGCATCAAGGAGGCCCGAGCTTGTTTCATTGGACAATCGAATTTCTTTCGTAACAGAGCGGTTGCTGTTCGTGATAAGTTTTGCCGTTATCAAGACAAGGTGCAGAGTATGGCGTTGTATTGTCTAGAGACATGTACTGCGGATGCTACCTCGCTACACATGCTCAATGCCTTCGAGGGATGGTGTTTGTGCCGTATGTTTCGACGGCCGAGGAGAGAGGAGGAGACTATGGCGGACTGGAACCGACGACGGTACCACGAGGCCAGAGAGCAATTCCGATCTTATGGATTTGCGAGTTTGGTGCAGAGATTCCTTCGTATGGTGTGGAACTCCGCGAAGGATGCTGCAGATTTCATTTCTATAATGTGTGCTGCTTCTCATGAGGATATATCGTCGACGCAACGTACGTGGAGAGATCATCACATGACTACGGTTGCGTATGGCCCATTGTGGGACAGACTCAGGACGGATGCGTCTGAGTGCTTGCGGGGTATGTTTCACTTCCAAGAGGCTTCGCAGCTAAAAAGGAGACATGTTAGTTCAGGTCGAGCTGTCGGCCAGAGATGCTGGCTATTTTCTTTCTGCGAATTCTACGGACTCAAATGGTGGGAGTCCTTTGTGCCGACAGATGCTGCGTATGTTCAGTTCTGCGAGCACATGTGTACACGGACGATGCTGAGTTACTTTCAGAAAAGAAAAGGGTACGGTACAACAGGTGGGGCCCCGCAGGAGGTACTTACTATCACACAAAACGACCTACACACCTATGGGGCCCAAGAGGGCACTGCGGCGTTCAACGACAAACTGGCCAAACGTATTGCGTTACAAAACATGAAGGAGGTTGAGTACGACCTCGACTCATTTGGGATCCCTGTGTATATTTCTGGGGACAGTCTTCTGGTGGTGTCTTGGCTGCAGGGTGTTTGGAGGGTGCTTAATCGTACGTATCAAGATAGGATCAACAGAATGATAAACCAACTCGACAACATTTGTCAAAGATATGGAATTAGGCCCGCCTGTCACGGGAGGGAAATTATTGACCACACATATAGGTAATGGAACACACGTGCAGATGTACTCACTCATACGGCCCGCGTCGGGCCACCAGATAGGATAGGGCTTCACGCCCCTCAGTTACAACAGGTGTTTCGCGTTTGTGCCATCAGAGCTGGATTCGATGGTGGTGTCTCTTGCGACGGCGTGGGAGTCGGGTGCTGGATTGATGTTGGAAGGGTATCGAGACTCTCAAGGCAGCCATCAGCCATGAGATCATTTGGACGGAGGTGTACAGTGCGGCGTTCTCGATTGATCCAACTTCAACAGTGACTGATGCCGAGGTCTCGGCCGTTGAGCATACGATTATGATCTTGCCGCGGGTTGTACAAGCGTATTTCGGACAGGATATGATGTGATTTTGATTGTGCTCACTCACGCCATGCCCTCGTTTGTCGTGTGTGTGTGCTTGACCTCTCATCCTCCTAATAAGAGTTGGCTTTCGCCTCTGATCGTTTGGATCGGTGAGGCTTCCGCCTACTCCCGATGCGCCCGCTCCTTGCTTCCGACTAGGCTGGAAAGCCTGCACAGTCGACCGCAAAGTCCGCAAAAAAGAAAGGTTGACGATTTTCTCGACACCAGGAGGGTGCGCAGGGGGTGCGGTCTCTATGCGTTGCAGGCGCGCAGGGCGCGGCAGGCGTGGGAATTCTCGACGCCAGAGGGGGTGAACAGGGGGTGCGGTCTCTATGCGTTGCAGGCGCGCAGGGCACGGCAGGCGCGGCATTTTCTCGACGCCAAAAGGGTGCGCAGGGGGTGCGGTCTCTATGCGTTGCAGGCGCGCAGGGCGCGGCAGGCGTGGGAATTCTCGACGCCAGAGGGGGGTGCACATCGGGTGCGGTCTCTATGCGTTGCAGGCGCGCAGGGCGCGGCAGGCGTGGCACTTTCTCGACACCAAAGGGGGTTCACAGGGGGTGCGGTCTCTATGCGTTGCAGTCGCGGGCACGGCAGGCGCGGCATTTTCTCGACACTAGGAGGGTGCGCAGGGGGTGCGGTCTCTATGCGTTGCAGGCGCGCAGGGCGCGGCAGGCGTGGGAATTCTCGACACCAGAGGGGGTGCACATCGGGTGCGGTCTCTATGCGTTGCAGGCGCGCAGGGCACGGCAGGCGCGGCACTTTCTCGACACCAGGAGGGTGCGCAGGGGGTGCGGTCTCTATGCGTTGCAGGCGCGCAGGGCGCGGCAGGCGTGGTACTTTCTCGACACCAGAGGGGGTGCGCAGGGGTGCGGTCTCTATGCGTTGCAGGCGCGCAGGGCACGGCAGGCGCGGCATTTTCTCGACACCAAAAGGGTGCGCAGGGGGTGCGGTCTCTATGCGTTGCAGGCGCGCAGGGCGCGGCAGGCGTGGGAATTCTCGACACCAGAGGGGGTGAACAGGGGGTGCGGTCTCTATGCGTTGCAGGCGCGCAGGGCACGGCAGGCGCGGCATTTTCTCGACACCAGGAGTGTGCGCAGGGGGTGCGGTCTCTATGCGTTGCAGGCGCGCAGGGCATGGCAGGCTTGGGAATTCTCGACACCAGAGGGGGTGCACAGGGGGCGCGGTCTCTATGCGTTTCAGGCGTGCACGGCGCGGCAGGCGTGGCAACGTCTCGATAACAGAGGGGGGTACGCGTGGGGTGCGGTCTCTATCCGTTGCAGGCTCGCACGGCGCAGCAGGCGTGTCATTTTCTCGACATCAGAGTTGGCGCGCAGGGAACGGCCACCAACATCATTCTCACATGCTTCTTTTCAGCTATCATCACTCCAGCCATAATATAAGTATGTCGGGTTCCTCGGTAGCGTAATTTTGAAGCCTGCGGGTCATAAGCGGTGAATCAGTTTCAGGTCGAACGCCCGGCCCGCCTGACAAACTGGCCTCGGGGTGCGACATGGATAAGGTTTTTGGATGAAGGAAAACAAAAACGAATGAGGGAGGAAAAGGAGGAGGAGGAGGAAAAAGAGGAAGAGGAGGAGGAGGAGGAGGAGGAGGAGGAGGAGGAGGGAGGAGGAGGAGGAGGAGGAGGGGAGGAGGAGGGAGGAGGAGGGAGAGGAGGAGAGGAAGGAGGGAGAGAGGAGGGAGGAGGAGAGGAGGAGGGAGGAGGAGGAGGAGGGGGAGGGGGGAGGAGGAGGAGGAGGAGGACGGAGGAGGAGGAGGAGGAGGAGGAGTGAGGAGAGGAGGAGGAGGAGGAGAGGGAGGGAGTGGTGAGAAACGAGGAAGGTGGTGGCTTGCGGGGCGCGGGCGGCTGTGCGCAGCGTGTGCCGTGCCGCGAGCGCCATGCATTGCGTGCCGCGCTGTGCTTCTGCAGCTTTGGCTCAGCTTGGCCGTGGGGCGGCGGGCTCGCCGAAGGGCCGCGTCGGTTGTCCGCGATGCAGGGCCTCAGCTGGATGGCAGGCGCCACGGCGGCGCCGCCGCCAGGGCCGCTGCCCTCGGACCTGCTTGCGGACATCGGCGCCCCACCAGGGCTGTCGGCAGGCGGGCCGCCAGGCGGCGGCGGCGGCTGCTGGGGGCCTGGGCAGGGCGCTTCGCTGGGCGCGATGCCGGATTTCAGCTCCTCGCCAGGGATGCCAAACTTCGGCTCCATGGATTTCGGGTCTTCGCCAGGGGCGATGAACTTCGGATCCTCGCCAGCGGGGATGCCTGGATTCTCGCCGATGCCAGATTGGGGTGCCACATTTACAGGCCCGCCCGGGAACGGGATGTCTCCGGCCTCGGGTAGCTCCCCGCAGGGAGACTTCGGCTCGGCGTCGGGAATGGGCCTGGGCGCGGGCGGCATGCCGGACTATGGCCACTGGGACGGCATGCAGGGTAAGGGAAACGGCCCCGACATGGGCGGCATGGGCTTGTGGGGCAGCATGCCCGGCGCTGGCATGGGCGGCATGCCGGACACGGGCATGGGCGGCGTGCCTGGCATGGATGGGCACGGGCGGCGGGCAGGACATGGGGACGCGAGAGGTGGCGGAGAGCAGGAGGATGATGCTTAGGAGGAGGCGGAGTGCCAGAGGAACTGCTCACATCAGGTAATGGAGCCCCTCCCATTCTCCTCCACCACCTCAGGGCCTATTTGCCACCACGCGTCACGTACGGGGTGGATGTGCGGGCGGTGGGGATGAGGACGGAAAGGAGGTGGATGAGTAGGGCGGAAAGGAGGATTAATATGAAGGCGAGGAAAAGCATCAAGAGGATGATGACGATGATGATGATGATGATGATGATGATGATGATGATGATGATGATGATGATGATGATGATGCTGATGATGATGATGATGATGATGATGATGTTGTTGCCGATGATGTGTATGATGATGATGATGATGATGCCGATGACGATGATGACGATGATGATGATGACGATGATTACGATGACGAATCTGATGCTGCTGGTGCTAATGATGATGCTGAAACTGCGGATCTTGATGAAGACGATGTTAACTATTATGATTGCGGTTGTGATGATGCTTCTGATGATGATGATGATGTTGATGATGGCGGTGGTGGTGATGATGATGGTAATGATGATGATGATGATGATGATGATGATGATGATGATGATGATGATGATGATGATGATGATGATGATGATGATGATGATGATGATGATGATGTATTGTGTTGCTGATGGTGATGATTCGGATGATGATGACGATGATGATGATGCTGATGATGCTGATTATGATTATGATGACGCGGATGCTGATGCTGCTGATGATGATGCTGATGGTGATGATGATGCTGACGATGATGATTCTGATGATGATGATGTTGATTCTGATGATGACGAAGCTGCTGCTGCTGCTGTTGCTGCTGCTGCTGATGATTACGATGATGATGCTGATTATGCTGAGGATTATGACGATGCTGATGCTGACTGTGCTGCTGCTGATGATGCTGCTGATGATGATGCTGCTGATGATGATGCTGATGGTGATGATGGTGCTGATGATGCTGATGAGGAGGAGGATGAGGAGGAGTTTGGCGGCGAAGAGAAGGAGGCAGATGGGGAACTTGACGAGGAGGTTATGCCAGCATTTGTCCGCAGTGGCCTTCCTTTGGTTCCAACTGGTGTGTCCAGCATATTCGATCGTAATCGGCACGTGGCAATCGCCGTTTTACAGTCATGCGAGAGAAGCGTTGGCCAACCTTCTTGGATGAGAAGGGTCGAGGCTTTTTGCATGCCTTTCGGTCTTCTCGACGCTTCGCGTATTCTCATTAGCCCATCCAGAAACGCTGCCCAGGAGAGCTGACGAGAAATGGGAGGACGGGACACATACGGTGAATCGAAGTGGGTACGCAAGCATGGTGAACGGAGGATGCGGAGGCTGCGGAGGAGGAGGAGGAGGAGGAGGAGGAGGAGGAGGAGGAGGAGGAGGAGGAGGAGGATATGGACGACGACGAAATGACGAGGATGAGGAGGAGGAAGATGAGGAGGATAAAGAAACATATGAAGAGGGGACAAGGACGAGGATGACGCCTGACGAGGAGGAGGAGGAGGAGGAGGAGGAAGACGAGGACGAGGAGGAGGAGGAGGAGGAGGAGGAGGAGGAGGAGGGGACGAACATGAGTAATAGTAGTATAGTAGTAGTAGTAGTAGTAGTAGTAGTAGTAGTAGCAGTAGCAGTAGCAGTAGCAGCAGTAGCAGCAGTAGCAGCAGCAGTAGTAGTAGTAGTAGTAGTAGTAGTAGTAATCGTAGTCGTAGTCGTAGTCGTAGTCGTAGTCGTAGTCGTCGTAGTAGTAGTAGTAGTAGTAGTAGTAGTAGTAGTAGTAGTAGTAGTAGTAGTAGTAGTAGTAGTAGTAGTAGTAGTAGTAGTAGTAGTAGTAGTAGTAGTAGTAGTAGTAGTAGTAGTAGTAGTAGTAGTCGTAGTAGTTGGATGAGGAGGGGGAGGAAGAGGAGGAGGAGGGGGAGGAGGTGAAGGAGGAGTAGGAGGAGTAGGAGGAGTAGGAGGAGGAGGAGGAGGAGGAGGTGAGGAGGAGGAGGAGGAGGAGGAGGAGGAGAGGACGAGGAGGATGAGGACGAGGGCTCTGGGGCCCTCTTGGAGCCTCTTGGGGCCTTCATGGGAGCCCTGGACGGCCTCCTGGGGCCGTCTTAGAGACCATTTACCAGAGGGGAGGGGTCCCCGATCTAGGTCCCTCTTGTGGGGCCCTCAAAATCGCCTCTTGGGACCCTCTTGGGGCGTTCTTGGGCGGTCTTGGGGCCTTCTGGGGTGCCTCTTGGGCCCCTCTTGGGTCTCTCCTGGGCCATCTTGGCGCATCACAAGCGATGAGGCGAGAAAGTATCATTCTTTTCTTTACGTTTTCGATGGGTTTTGGCATCTTGTGGGTCCTGAGGGGGCTCCGACAGGACTTGGAACCGTCTTGTAGCGGTACTTGGGGTCTCTTGGAGCATGTTGTAAGCCATCTTGAGCTATCTTCGGTCTTGGAGGCAATCTTGGAGTATCTGAGGTCCTCCTGGAGCCATCTTTTGGATTTGAATATGGCCATCTGACCACTCGCGAAATCCCCGAACATAACTTCATGGAGGGGAGGGGGAGGTACCCATCCCCGAAGGAAATAAGGGTTTTGGATGCGGAAATAACAACATTGTTAGACCACCTACGTCCAGAAGAGGGCTGGCGCGATTTTTTGGCGTCCAGAGGTTTCCGGGCGCCTCCAGGGACCTACCTCTCTCTCTCAAGGGGACCCTCGGAGGCCTCCGGACACATCTGAAGACCTCAGCTGTCAGGGGGGACGTCGATAGGGGCCGGGGCTGGACCTAAACGCTGTTTTGCTGGACGTCGGCTGTGTTTTGTTTGTCGTTTTGGCAGGGAGGTACAGGAAAACAGGTTGAGCAAAACGAGCAACAAAACGAAAGCAAGACGGAAAACACCGTTTAGGTCCAGCCTTTATACGGCCCGACTGGGGGGTCACCCTGCTGTTGTCTTCTAGGGTGTGGCATGAAAGAGAGGCTCGCTCGACCTTGAGCAAACGAACCCAGGATTAGATGGAATATCAGTTCTCCAAAAGGCCTCTTCTCCTGGAGAGCTGGGGTGAGAAAAGGATCTTTCCAAGCCCCCTTACTCAGCGAGCGCCCCTGCCTTCTTAGAAGGCTGAGTCCGCTCTGGACCTTTCGGGCTCGCCGCCAGCTCCCTCCGCTCCCTCCCTGGCCTCCCTCTCGCGCTGTCGTGCCTTCATCCTTCATGGTGTGCTCTTGTTCGGCCGGCTTCTTTGGGCTTTCCGCGTGAGAAACAACCAGCAGGAGGGGCAGTAGCGGTGTGACGTCGCAGGAACCCTCGTGCATGCGCCGAGGGAACACCTCATCAGATTGGCATGTTGAGGTCCGACACGTGTACACCCTAGGCGATGCTTAAGAGAACATAAGTTTTCGGCCAGAGTCTCGGTTATTCTCAATGCTTCAATGTAACTCCTAATTTTTTAATGGACATTCTGGGTTTTTAATCAAATTATGAGACTATGAATTTCTGAACCCATGATTTCTTAAGCATCTCGCAGGGTGTACGACGATGGGGAGGGAGCACGGGGGTGTGCCAGAAGCAGGGGAGGCGTCGTGGTCTGAGCCAGGCGAGAGCCAGATGCTGCCGTGCGCTCTCCACGGCAAGGTCGCGCCGCACCCCTCCTCCTTGCGCCGCGGTCGCGGCTGCCACACTGCTCCTCCGCGCTTTCTCCCCCCGTCCTGCTTCTCCTGTCCCTCCGCGTCCTTCTGCTCCATCTCCCTCTTTCTCTGTCTCTCTCTCTCTCTCTCTCGCTCTCTCTCAATCCTCGCTCTTCTGACGCCAGCTCGAAGTCGGTGGCCCAGGCTGATCTTGGGTGTGACCTCGCATCTGGCTCGGGAGTTGCCGCTGAGGCCTGCTTGATTCTGGCTTCGGCTGTCTCCTCCTGGCTGTCCTCGGCTTCGATACTGCTGCCGAAGACGGTCAGTTGGCGCTTCCCTGCTTCTGTTAGGCCATCTCCGCTGCTGGACCTCCTGCCGCTTGTCGTCGCTCCCGTCGTCCGATTCTTATCTAGCTCGGCTTCTGGCCACGATGTCGGCGCCCCAAGTGTCCCAGAATGGTTCAAAAACCGATCGACGACTTTGGCGAGAACGACGGCGGCGATGAACGCAATGACGACGAGCAGGCCCGAAGTCACAGGCCCATCGCGAGGGCACCTTTGACATAAACCTGCCCTGGCGAAACGCACGGTACGTTATACCGTGTGTCTGCGGGGATTTTCCCACCGTGCCAGCGCAGCATTCTGTGTGGCGAGAGTCGTCCAGAAGGTCGACGGTCGCAACCCGTGAAGGTCGTAGTTGGCATGTAACACGCTTTCCGGCAGGCTCGAGGCGGCCGTAAAATGTTGCATATGCCTGCCCAGGGCCCAGACAGCTATGACGCGTGACACTTCCCCTCCCCAGTTCTCAGAGAAACCATGAGATGAGTCAGTTGACCTCCCGACGACCCAGATGGCCGTAACGTATGACGTCGGGGCTTTTCCGGGAATGCAGGCAAAAGGATCCCGCATTTCCGTGCCCAGGGTCCAGATTTGCGCTCCCGAAGCAGACGATCCGCGCTGGGTTCCCCATGACCGACTGCCCTGGCCTCCTCCGAGTAGAAGTCGGCGGTCCGCGGCGCGCGCTCCAGATCTCGTGCCCCAGGTCGTCCGCCGGAAAGCTGAAGGCACTAGCTGCGGTGTTACACCAGTGCTCCTGGGCATCAGCTGTTGAATCGGGCCTGTCTGTGCATGGTGCATTGATTGTAGACGCTTCGCGTAAACCCAGCTGCCCGACACGCTCTCTGGACTTTTCCTTGCGGGCCGCCGAACAAAAAGTAAATCCAGCAGCGTGGGAGTGTGGGTCTCACACCACCACGCTGATCGCCAACACTAGCCTGGAACCGGGAGAGGAGGTCACCGTCCGCAGCTCGCCCTTCCCCGACTCCAATAGTATCCAATGGCCCTACGAGGTCACCTTTGATGGTGGTGCCAGGTGCATCGAGGGCGCCGCCAAAGTCTCAGGCGCTGGGGCCATCCTGTGGCACCACAACCCCACCACAGGCTCTCCCCAAGCCCTGGCCGTCGCCATCGTTGCGCTTCCAGAGTGGCAACGCACAAATGGCCGAAGTTGGGTGCTGCCGTGCTGGTTTGGCCCTGCTCCCCCACCTTGAGGGCCCCCTTCGGGCAGCCAGGGTTGTCGGCGATAACCTCGCCGCCGTGCGATACGGAGCGGGCACCGCCAGGTACCAAAGTTCAACCTCGCCAGGCAGATGGAGGACGCCCCAGGGCAGGCGGAAGGTGCGGCTTGGGTACTCACGTGGCAAGCTGTCAGACGGAGGCTGAACAAGGCCGCGGACAGTCTCGCCACCATTGGGGTCTACTGGGCCGACGCCCTCCGCAAGGACGGCGTGAACACGGTCATCACACACATACAATGGGCGAGCGATGCCCCCACCCGTCCAGAGCACTTTCCCTTCCACGACAGTCCGGTGATCAACCTCTGCTACCTATCTGAAGCGGCCGCTGCCGCGTTTCAGCTGGAAAATCCTCCTTCCTCCTCCCCCCCTGGCTCCCCCCCGATCGGGTCGCCGATCGGTCGATCCCTGCGGCAACTGAGGCCCCGCAGCCTTGGCTCAAGCCAGTCTCCCGCCGCCCACCATTTACCAGTGCTCAGAGGCTTTTGGCTGCGCCCCCCCATCTGCAGGATGACGAAGAAATGCAATAATGGTCCACTAGCCCGTTGGCCTTCCCCCACTGCCCCCTGTGCTGGAGGCCCGGGCAAGGTTGACGGCCCTCGTCCCTTCCGCGCGCGCGAGTGCCCGTGGCTCCGATGGGCGCATTTCCACCATGAATGGTGCTGGTGGTGCGAGGTGTGCCAGAGGCACTGTGACGGCAAGGAGCATCTCCTTGGAGGGTCCCACGCTTACGAAGCAGGAAAGCAGTAAAACACTGGCTGGCCAGACCCAAGACTGTATACTGTTGCAGGCAACCTCTGGACCAGAGCCTTGGGCAAAGAATTCGACCAGGTGACCAAGCGCACCATCAACAGACCACTATGGCCTGGTTGGACGCTGCCAGACCCAGTCAAGGATGGCACCCTGCCACACCTCCCAGGGTGGACCTTCCCAGAAGACTGGGATTACGTCCCAGTCAACTTCCCGTGCCGCGACGACCCGTTCGACTTCGCCACCCCAGCCGACACCGTTCGCTCGACAGACCTACGACCGTCTAACCTGTGCCGGGCGGGGTGGGGAAAGGCTCCCAGGAGCTCGACCGGAGCCTGGGGGGGCGCGGCACCGCCGCCGCCGCCGCCCCCGCCAGATGCGCCCACCGCATCACTTGGACGGCCTCCCGCCCCGCAGGACCCGCGGGAGGGGCGGAACAATGCATCCAGCAGGGCCTCCTCGCAAGACTCAATGGACCGGAACAGGCCCGAACACGACGGAGACAGTGACCATCGCAACTGTCCAGACGCCCTCCCCCCCATGAGTAGGCAGGTAATAATTGAGTCATCAGCGGCCGCAGCAGCGGATGCCATCACTCGTCTATTCGCTGTCCCCACCAACAGCACAGCAGCCTAGTTTCTCCTCACGCCCCCACTGGCTCAGTCCACTCGGGAGTGAACCTCCCAAGGCATTGGGAGCAAGACCTACGACAAAGAGGACGCACCCTCGACAGGCTGGCCTGGGCCGAGTGCATGGCAGCCGCCGAAACCGTCTGGGATGGTTCCACCAAGGCCAGAACGGACTTGGTAAGATGGCAGAGCTGCGCGTTAGGCGTGGCGGTCACCCCCATCGACGAGAAGTCCCCCTGTCTACTCCTCGATCAGTTCAGGCTGCGGAACGCTTTTTCCACCCAGCAGGGGAAGCTGCTGTTGCACCTGCAATGGCCCCAAGAATTCAAGATCTTTCTCAAGGGGCAGGAAGCAGGACAGGAGGCCCGCACGCTACTCCTTAGCGTCACCAGCCCATCCGCGGATCAGGTCGCCTCGCTCAAGCTGCTGTGACCACCCGACTTCGGAGGTACCATCCCTGCAAACGACTGCGAGGCTTTGGATTTCAGACGGGGGACCAAGTACCCCAGCAACCAGGCCTTGGCTTCGTGCGACGAAGACAGATGCGGGAGGTTCCACGCTGGCGACATAATCACAAAGCCAGACAAAGTGGGGGACGCGTGGTATCGGCTGGACAAGGCGCCCCCCCTCGGTTACAGTACTGGCGGATCTCTACCTCCATCGCCGAGATCTACAAGCTGCAGCAGGCCCCCGCAGACCTGGCGGGCACGCCGCTCGACGTCATCACGTGCCTCCTCACCTTCCGCACTACCGACAGGAGGAACAAGACGCTGGCCAATAGCGTGGAGATAACCGGAGTCTGCGGGCAAACCCTCCTCTCACGGGCCAGGGCCATCATTAGGGCCCAGACTCTTGGCATGCCACCCGCAGTGGTGGGCACCAGAACGGCAGAGTCGTAACGCCCGACCGAGGTTCCGATCACCGCCCTCTTTTCTGACCGCGAAGTGGACAATGTCATCGGACAGGTCTTTCGACGGGTACGGGACCTACCGTCGACTGTGGTGCTCGATGAAGGCGCCAGGCGCCACCAGCTCAACGGCGACGCCACGCGGGCCCTTGCTGCCACCATGCAACACCGCGTAACGATCGTGCACGGTCCCCCAGGAACCGGCAAGACAGTCTTCTCAGTAGCCACCATGGACACCTGGGCCGACTCACTCCCTGAAGGCCAAACGGTGGCGCCGACTGCAGGTTCCAACGCAGCAGCGGACCAGCCAGCCCTCGGTCTCGGCAGCGCGCGCCAGGCGGACGGGCTAGGGCAGAGGACGGGATGCCCCAACAGATGCGTTCGTCTGGCCAAAGACTTCCGAGTGACGAAGGCACTGGCCCCGCTCGCCCAGGGGGGGCACTTCCTCAGGACTCGCGGGGGGCTCCCATACGAAGGTGGCTCCTCCAAAGAATTTACCGCATTCCGTGCCCAGCTTCTCAAGACCGCCAAGGCGATCATCGCGACGCACGAATCCGCGGAGGCCCTCAGGAACGCCGCCCCGGTAGCCTTGCTCATCGTCGACGAGGCAGGGCAAGCCCACGAGCTTATGGCAGCCATGTCGCTCGACAGCGCCATCCGCTCTGGCGGGCATCTGGCGCTGGTAGGTGATTTTAATTAGCTTCCCCCCACCGTGATTTCCAGAAAGGCCGCCGACCTCGGGCTCTGCCTCTCCATCTTCGATCGGCTGCGCACCGCCCTGGGGGGCGAGACGACGCCTGTGTTGCAGCTGAGCCTCTGCTACCGCATGCGCCCCCTACTTCTGTCATGGCCCAACGTTGCCTTCTACAACAACACTATGCGTTTTGGGCTCACCGACCCCTTTGCCCAGAGGCCGCCGATCAAGGGTCTACCATGGCGGATGCTACTGCCCTGGGATGACGACAGGCTTGAAGCACTCGCCGAGGCCACGGCCACCCTCAAGGCAGACATGGGGAAGATGCTACGGGACCTCGTGCCAGGCCCCCATCGCGAGGAGGAGCGGCACCGGTTCCTCCTTGTCGACAACCCCTCCCTCGAGGTCACCTCAAGACTCCATTCAGGATGCGCGAATCTGCTGGAGGCCGCGC